TGGGCCAGTCAGTTTATAACTAATGTAGACTTCTGTGTGATTTCTTTGGGACTTAATGATTGCGGGAACTGGGCAGGATAGAAAAACCCCGACAACTGACCAGGCTGGCCTCCAGTTCACAGATATCCACCTGTCTCTGCCTCCCACGTGCTGGGATTAAAGGTGTATATCACCACCGCCCAGCTAGCATGTCAGGTTTTATGCAGTGCTCGAGTGTGAGCCCAGGGCTTCGAGTATACTAGGAAAAGAATCTACCAACTGAGCTACCTTCCCAACCACTAGCATAAAGTTTTCAGTGTCTTGGCTGAACAAAAGGAAAACAGGCAACGATGTGGAATGGACGTCACCCTCTGAGTCTGACAGATGCGGCCTCCAAGCTCGCTTAGCCACTCACTGTCATGTGTTTTAGAGAACCTTTCTGAGACTCAGTGGTCAACACTGTAAAATAAAGCTAACAATGGCCAGCTCTGATGATTGTTGTAAAGATTCCACGAGTCACTGCCTGCGGCACATGAGAGTGTGCTAGAAGCTAATATATTTGTTTTCTCCATGGTTGTGGCTATTTGACTGAAGCGGAAAGTTGCCATTATAGAAGGCAGTGTCATAGCCAGACATAGTGTTATATTCCTTAAATCCCAGTCCTTGAACGGCTGGGGCAGAAATAGTAAGAATTTGAGCCAGTCTGGACTACATAACAAGACCACAATTTCAAAAAAGCTAAAAGCTGGGGCTAGGCATGGTGGCACAAGGCCTGTCGTCCCAGCTTCTAGGGAGGTGGATGCTGGAAGATCACAGAGTAAGGCTCACCTGAGCTGCATGTTAAGTTCAGGGTCAGCTTGTGAAACTTATAGAGACAGCATCTGAAAACAAAAAAGTAAAACGGGGCTAGGGATATAACCTACTGGTGATACGCTTCCCTGAATTCAATAGGGATATAGCTCACTGGTAGCGCGCTTGCCTGAATTCAATCCCTACCAATACTTGGCTAAAGGAGTGTGGAACAATTGTACAAATTGTATTATTGGTCATATAATATATAGGAGTATAAAGTATTTTTGAATGACAGCACAAAGAGCAAAGTCAAGATTCACATTTAGAGTCTTTATTTTTCCCTCTGAGTTGCAAGTCTGGCCTCCTCCAATGCGCCCTTCTGTTTAGGGTAGCCTTTTAAGATGCTGGAGTTGGGGTGTTGGTGTCTAACTTAGGTGGGGTTCTAGGATTCTAAGAATCTAAGAGGGAGGAAATTTCCAAAGTGATGGCTTTAGACCGTGAGTGCATCACAGTGATGCACCAACACCACCCCTTTACAAACACAGCCCATGCAGGATGCCTCTCCTTGCACTGTTAAGCAACTGAACTCCTACATATTATAAAAACCTCTTTGTCCAGGGTCCCTATCTAGATGTACCCCAGAGGACAAAGGCAGATCTGTCTTCAGCCTTTAACAGGGGACAACTTGTTCAGACTTACTGAGAAAATTTGGAATCATCATCATCAAAATCATGATCATGATCATTCTTCTTTTTTGAGAAAGGATCTCACTATGTAACCTTGACTGACCTAGAACTCACTACGTGGACCAGGCTGACCTCGAACTCACAGAGATCCACTTGCGTCTGCCTTCCAAGTGCTGCGAATAAAGACATGCACCACCACCTAGCTTCCTAGACACTTTCAAGGACCACCTGCTGCTTCTGCTAATACTGTCTTCTTCCCACAATCCTGGCACCTCTGCATGTCAATTTCAAGCTTAACCCGAGCCCATGTGTGCCTGACAAGCCATGAAGGGGTCAGGCCACAACCTAAGGACGGAGACTATGAGGCTGGGAAAGACCAGCAACCTGGTCATGTTATGGTCTGAGGGTCACAGAGGAACATGGAGACCCCTGGTTAGGAAGTGCCTTGGCATGCTATGAGTCAGATTTCCCATCCCTGGGGGGCAGGGGCAGTTTCTTGATGCTTCTTCCATGGAGGGTGGTCCTGAAGAAGGCTGGGCACTAACTCCTGTGGTCTAGACCAAGGATGCTAGGATTCTGGACACCCATCACATAATCCCTGCTGCTTTGAGCCTACTCTAGGGGTTGCCTGGTCTCCCAGGAGAAGTCAGAGGCCAGATGGTCACTGGCTGCTGGTAGCACATCCAAGAGGAATCTTGGTATGCCTTGCTCTTCTCTCCCCTGGGTCTCATGCGGTTTGGGAGTAGAATAGGACCTGGGGGTCAGGGTGAAGGATACCTAGTTCTCCTTGGTTCTTCACTCTGCAGGTCCCTCTACGTCTGATTGGTGCTGCTGAGGTGTTGTAGGAGAGAGGGTTGTTCTTCCCGGCCGCCCAGCTAGCTTAGCCTCGAAATAACCACACAGGGATTGTATTAATTAAAACATTGTTTGGCCCATTCGTTCTAGCCTCTTATTGGCTAACTTTCACATCTTGATTTAACCCATTTCTATTAATCTGTATGTTGCTACGTGGCAGTGGCTTACCGGGAAAGATTCTAACCAGTGTCCATCTCAGGCAGAGGATCCATGGTGTCTCCCTGACTCTGCTTTCTTCCTCCCAGAATTCAGTTCTGTTTTCCCTGCCTACCTAAGTTCTGCCTTATCAAAAGGCCAAGGCAGTTTCTTTCATTCATTAACCAATTAAAGCAACACATAATCAGAAGGACTTCCTACATTACTGAGGCCACGGGAAGAACATTGCACATACCACTCTGTGCTGGGCTACAGTGCAGGCCTGGAGGACAGGGATCACACAGGTGTCTGAGTGACAATGCTGGCCCCGTGATTTCTCTGTCATCCATAAAGCCACTATCTGAGGTCATCACCTGAAAAAAAAAATCCTCTCCCTGGGACTCCCTTGCTGGCTTGCTGCTTCTTGTAGTCACAGCTTCCCACCTAAGCTAGACTCCCCAAACACCGACTCCAGTGCCGGTAGAGCCTGCTTTAGGAGGGTACATGGTGGAGTCCGAGGCCGGCACGTCTCCGAATAAAAATCCCGGCTCTGTCCTCACTCTGCGTGGCTGTAAGAAAGGCACTGCCTCTCTCGGATTCTCTGTTTTGATTCCTCTGTGCAGAGGGCAAATCAGAGGCGAGACAGGTGTTAGCGAGCCTGGGCTCTGAAATACTGTGTTAGCTACTTTGTGCCCTGGGGCTCTGGGCAAGGTCATCGGATCAAGGGAGGTCAGTTCAGGTCCTTCTGAGGGGACAGTACTACTCTAGTAGAGGATCCAAAGGGCGAGGGTAACCCAAGGCCTAAGGGACAGAACTGGTAGGAGGGGAGGAGCCAGGGTAAGAAGGGAGAGGAGATTGGCTTTATTCCCAAGAAGTAGGATTAATGTCCTTTGCAGAACTTCTTTTTGTCCTTGCATTGGTTTTAAGAACCAGGTAACTTGGGCCAGGTGTTAAGTTGGGAGCATAGACCCCAGCCCCTCACATCAATCCCAGCCCCCAGGCCTGAGAGCTGTATTGGTCTGGACTCTCCAAATCCCAGCATGCCAGGTCCTGACCCCTCCCTGGGAGGGGGGGGTCAGGACCACGCCCACAGAGTATTTAAGTGAACTCTCAGAAGAGGATCGCGTGGTCTCTTTTCCTTCCTCTTTGCGGTCGAGTTCACCACGGCCTCCTGGTTTCCACTTAGGGCCACTTGAGAGCACAGGAATCCCATTAAACCTGGATATTTCTTAATTTGCCTTGTTTTGATTTGGCTTCATTGGGATTTTGCATCGGCAGAGAGCTCACCTTAGGGAAAATTCCTAACACCAGGAACTAGTGTAAAGGCAGTAAGTAGCAGGTTAGGGTCCCAAGGTGGGTGAGCAGAGGGTGGGAACTACAAGACAGATTAGGGAGGGAGCTTGGACCGCAGTGACCCCAAGAGCCCCAAGAAGGACTGTGGCTCCCACAGAAAAATCATTAGCTACTTATAGACATTCATCCCACGGATCTTCCGGGCTTCTATAAGCTCCAAGTTATTTTTAGGTAGAAGATGCCTATGCTACTCATGCTAAAGTTGTGACATCTCTACCAGTCCCAGGTCACCAGTCTTTAGGTGGTGATTAGAGCTGCCTAGAATGTGTGACCATCCGTAGGCCAGGGGACATTTGTTTTTTGCTGGGTGCCAGCCACCATCTGGGCACTTTCTGATCAATCATTCTGCAGATGCTCAGGGCGGACACGAGAGGAATTACTGTCATTACGCTTTTCTTACAAATGGGACAATTGAAGCAGCAAAGACTACGTAGTTGCCTAACTTGCCTAAGCACTAAGCAGGGTACTTGTGTACCTGCACCGCAAAAACCTCAAATAAAAACTAGCCAGGTAGGGGTGGTGTGCAAGACTTTAATTCCAGCACTCAGGAAGCAGAGTCGGGTGGAGCTCTGATTTCGAGGTCAGCCTGGTCTACAGAGGCAGTTCTAGTATAGTCAGGGCCACACCGAGAAACCCTGTCTCAAAAAATCAAATCAAAACAAAACAAACAAAATACCCAACCCCAAACCCCAACCCCAAACCAAACCAAACCAAACCAAACCAAACTAAACAACCAAACAAACTAAAAACCAAAACCAAACAAACAACCCCCAAACAAGGCAAAATGAAACCTGTCTTAAGATACATATCCAGTAAACGGTAGACTCACACTAAAAGCCTAGCAGTCAGTGCATGTATCTGAGACTCAGAGTGCATGGAGCTAAACTTGGACTTGGTTTGTATGGGGCTATACTATGCAGTGCAAGCATATGTTAGCCCTGTCCTGCAGCGCCCCCTGGTGTCCACAACACACCAGCACATAACCCTTTCTGCCTCCTCGCCATGGGAGGCTCCATAACCCAACAGTCTCCTTGTCTGAAGCTGTGCCTTCTAGTGTGGCCTCAGTTTTACATGACTGCTGTATCCTTGGAACAAGAAAGTCTGTTTGCTAGGACACCCTGACCAACAAGGTATGGATGTTCAGTGAATCTCAGGGGTAGTGACCCAGGAAAAGAAAATAGAAAGACAAGAGGCATAGAATCCCAGGGAATCTTCCAGCCATGTTATTCCTCCTCGAGTACAGAGAGGCTCTTACCAGGCAGGTGCTGAGACCTCACCAGTGGATTCTTTCCCCTTCTCCAGGAACCTGTGGAGTTGGCAGCATCAAAGTGGGTGTGGAATAGCCTGAGGCCAGGGGGCAGAGCCATTGCGCATCAGACCCTCGTCTCCCTGAGCAGCTCCTTTGCGAACATTGATCCCAAGAGTCTTTTCCCCTCACCTCTGCATCTCGTTAGTCATCATGTCTGATGGCTGTCAATCAAGAGCCCACCAGAAACCTGCTGGGGTGGCGCACACCTGCAACCCCTGCTCATGAGAAGCTGAGGCCGGAGCTGTGAGTTTGGGGCCTGCTGGGGTTACACAGTGAGTTTCAGGCCAACCTGGGCTACAAAGTGAGATCTTGTCTCAACAAAACAAAGGAGCCTACCAGTGGTTTCCATCTTGGAAAATGCACTGGATCCCCCTGCTTTCCCTTCCCGACTCTACTGTCCTGCCCCCTCTTCTGCACAGTACATCCATTCATGTCACTCCTGAGTAGAGTCTTCCTGGGGTCCTCTTGCTCGTAAGTCCAAGACCCAATCACAGTCAAGGTCCCTGATAATCTAATCTCACTCTGTCCAAATAGAGTAGTATTGCCTCAGCGTCTTCCTCAAGGCCAGCTGTTCTTAACCTGGTGATCGTGACCTCTTTGGGAGTTGAATGACCCTTTCACAGGGGTCAAATGTCAGATATCCTGCATATCAAATATTTACATTGTGATTCACGTCAGTAGTAAATTATAGTTGTGAAGTAGCAACAAAAATAACATTACGGCTGGGGGTTGCTGTAATGTGAGGAACTGTATTAGAGGGTCGCAGGGTTAGGGAGGTTGAGAACCACTGCTTTAAGGCCTTTCTCCGATTGAGTCCTCTGCCAAGGACCTCCTTTGCCCCGTGCTTCTCACTGTTTATACTTTGGCTTGCCCATTTGAGTAACCTCTGCTTATCTTTTAGGTCTTGGCTTAGATGCCCTCTGTCCCCAAGTCAGACATGGCCTATTTGTCACAGCTCTCTTGTGTCACCAAAAACACACACTGGGTCCCTCTTCATAGCTGCCAGGCTCCCTGTCAGCTTATGGGGACAAACTTCTTTGGTGGGAGAAGGGGTTGAGAGCAGCAAACCTTTAGTGCACTGGGAAGACCTCGAACTCATCCCAAGAGGACCAGAAAATCATGGGGAACTCCGGAATAGGGGGAGTGCCAAGGCTCAGAGCCCCTCTGCTCTGCGTCTCTCCTTGCTCCTAGCGATTTCCCAGAGCATAACTGCTTCCGGTACAAACATTTTCCGTAGACCCATCAGCAGCCACGATACAGTCTGACCGAGAAGCTATGGATGGGACTGGGGCTCGTAGAATGGGGGAGTGTGGTCAGGGCAAGACATTTGGAAGTCGATCAAAATCCAGATTTGTTTGGAGTGTGTGCTGGGCATCGAATAGTCCCTCTTGCACACTGAGCAAGGCTCTGTCTCTGTGGTACCCTCCTCCCCAGTCTCGGAATCCAGATGTTTTAAGGGGATGAGACACTGATTCTTAAAAAGGACGTGAATAGCCTACTCTGAAAACCTGAGGGCTGTACCAGTCCAGACCCTTGGTCTTGGCCTTCACTGCTGTGTCCTGGAGCTCCCCTGAGGTGCAGGCAGACTGTTGCCATTGTCTTCTGCTGCTGGGAGGCGAGGGAGGAGTCCCTGCCCTTTGTGTGTAAGATTGGAGGCCGGGCCCTAAAGGGAAAGATTGTATCTGGTGAGGGCGACCTTGCTGGATTCTGTTCTGCCTTGTGTGGAGGCGCAGACCAGTCAGCAGAGAGGAGGAGTCTAGGTCCTGGTTAGAGACCTCTAGGTGCTAGGTCTGTTCGAAGCTAGGGCTCCCTGTGCTCCAAGACCTCCACCTTTAGAGGTCACCTTCCTGGCCAGGGTGGACATTTGTCGGGGATGGAACATTGGTTTTGGTGCCTGAAGAAGGGTCTGGGTTCAAATCTAGAATCCACGATCATAGATTCTGTCAGTCATTTATGAAACACTCCCTGCTTCCAGGTCCTGCCTAATCTTGCTGTGGTGACAGAGTGAGGTTACAGCTTCTATTTTCAGAGCCCTTCTCTGGCAGGGACAAGGACACAGACGTGGATGTTGTGAGCGTGTGGTAGGCTAGGTTCTAATAGGCACACGCGGCCTAGAGAAGGCAGAGGCGCTTTCCCATAGGTTCTAATAGGCACATGGGGCCTAGAGAAGGCAGAGGCGCTTTCCCAGGAGAAGAGACCCTCTGAAGAGCTTGACTAGTGTGCTGGACCTTGCCGTGGAGCAAGGACTCAAGACACCTCAGGAAAAAGCAGGAGCTTGTGCAAGGGTCCGGAGGTAGAAACCAGTGTGGTGACATTTCACTAGTGCCATGCCTGTCCTGCAGAGGCTCTGCCTGGTCCAGGTTAAAGTGTCCGGGTAGAAACAGAAAGAGGCTCTTCTGCTGGGACTCCACCGCTCTTAGGGTTGGCCCCAGTGAGGAAGGTCCAGGCAGGCCCCACCTCAGAGTTCCTCGGGCGCTTTCCTGCTCTTCTGTTGTTGGCGCCACTCTTGGATTTTTCGGGGCAGTGTCTCTGTCCAGAACTGTAGCCGGTTCTTCTTTAGCTTCACCCCAATCCGTGGTTGTAGGCCAATCTCCAAGTATTGTTCTAACTGGTTTAACTGGGGCCAAGAGGGCAACCCCTTGCCGTTGGGGTTCCTGGGTGAGGAGATTGAGAACCAAGGGTTGATTCTGTGCCCTGAGTAGGGGCGGATAGGAGGTCCAAAGTCTGGCATGTGCTACCACCTACTCACCCTGTGTGTGCAAACTGGGTCCATTGGGCCATCATGGTCCGGCTCAGCTGTTTCTCTTCCTCTGTGGCCTCTGGGAAGGCTGGTAGGAGGGACAGATCAGGGTCAGGCGAGGCTTGGTCTATAGCTAAAGACCGAAACCTCTGTTCCCAAAAGACCACCTTGGAGCACAGTAGCCTAGGGATGGAATGTCTGTCTGTCCTTACCCAGAAAGTTGCTCTCATCTGTGAGGAAAGGACCTCCAAGGACAAAGGGACTCTCAGACCCATGGTCAGCCTTTACCCAGGATGGCTTGAACTTCGCAAAAGAACTGGGGGTATGCTGGAACTCGTACAAGAAGACAGGGGACCCAGCATCTACGGAGAAGGCAGGATTCATGTTAGGTGCCCGCAGTTAAATCAGGGCACCTGGCAGCACAACCTTGCAATGACAACCATCATCATCATCATCATCATCATCATCATCATCATCATCATCATCATCATCATCATCATGGTGCAGATAAACAGCAAGCATTCGTGAGCTCTCCTCTGACTTACTAAGTAGCCAAAGATGACCTTGAACTCCTGACCCTACTTAGGTCAGTGGTTCTCCACCTGGGGTTCGAAACCCTTTGGGGTCGCATATAAGATATCTTGCATATCGGATATTTGCACTATGATTCATAATAGTTGCAAAATTACTTTATGAAGTAGCAATGAAACAGTTTTATTGTTGGGGGTCATCATAACATGATTAACTGTGTTAAAGGGTTACAGCATCCGGAAAGCTGAGGACCACTGCTTTAATTAACCTTCGCTATGCTCCCCCTTTACATATGATGAAAGTGAAGACCAGAGAAGACCTCTGAAATTTGCCCAAAATCACAAGGTTAAGAATCTGGGACTCTTATAGGACTATGCCAGGTTCAGGGGAAGGAAGATTTCTCCCAGGAGAAGCACTTAAAGAGTACCACATTTCTCCCCAACTGAATGATTCCCTCAGAAAGAGTTAGCGACGGGCCCTGCTAGGTGACCTGTGGTAAGTCTCTTCAGCTCTCTGAACCTCTGTTTAATCTGCAAGGTCCTCTCCCAGGGGTACCACCTGCTTCTATGATGCTACGTCTCAAAGAAAAAGGGCTGGCAGGTGGCAGCAGATGTGGGATGCAAGGCATCCGGGGATTCTGTACCAATCGGCAGCTACAACATCACCTGATAGTACAGGGAGGACAGGGCAGGTGGCAAGGGCTGGCTTACCTTGGAGGTGTTTTGAGAAGATCAAGGTAGGAATGACGAACACGGTATCACCTACCAATTCCTGGAAGGCATACCTCATGGCTGGTGCATCTGAGCCTTTGTCTAGGTATTCATCTATGACGAGGGGCATAATCTCAGGGGGCACCTCCTGGAGTGAGAGAGAGGTCAGCTCAGGCCTGTTCAAGACCCACAGCTTTGGCAGACCTCCCACAGATTCTCAATCCTCTACTAAAGGTTCTTTCACATCCAGGGAACAGCCGTCTATCTTGCCTCCCTAGGTGTTTTATTAATAGATTGTGTCTGCGTAGGATAAGCGCATGTGTAGAGTTAACTGTTATGCCTGTGGCCACTGTCAGTACCACATGGAGCAGGTGTCTGGACTACCCTGAAAGCCAATGTCTGGTAAGTTATCTGGAAGCGGATGTCTGCAGAACAGAGTGTGGCCTGGAAGCCAATGATAGGTAGAAACTAAATGGGAATAAGCAATAAATGGGGGTGACTCGTAAGCCCGGAAAGCAACAATGAGGTGGTATGAAGGAGAGGACTCTGGGGTTTCCAGAGAAGACAGCACACCTAGGTGCTGCCTGGGTATCTGGTCAACTCCTCAGGTGCAGCGCCCAGTCTCCCTAGGAGAGCTCAGGTGAGAGGGAAGGCATCCTCTCCGTGTGAAGTGGAGTTGTGGGCTCAGAGGGACTGGGGGAACTGGACAAGTGACCAGGGCTGGGATCCGTCTGCTGCCCCCAGGTCCATCTGGCTCCAAACCTGGCAATGAGATTTTAACACTTGCGCTCAGGGATCACTTTTCTTATCTGCAACAGGGACACTGCCAGTTTCTGCTTCACAGAGCTGCCATGACAACCAGAGGACGAATGCTGATTTGCATGCGGAGCCAGGCACAGTCCTGGCCGATCTGCATGCGGAGCCAGGCACAGTCCTGGGCGTGGGGGTTGTGCTCATGAAGGGGTGTTCACCCTGGGGGACAATACTGCTGCCACCGATTTTCCTTCGAGAACCATACTCAGAGTAATGCTTTATTTTTATTTAGACAAAGTCTCACTCTGTAGACCAGGCTAGCCTAGAACTATGCAACCCATAGGGTAGTTTTAATTTTTTGGTAATTTTCCTACTTCAACTTCCTGAACGCTGGGATGACAACCCAGAATTACTGCTCCTGGTCTCTTTACTCTTAGTGGGCCTGAGACTCATCAACTGGGCTAAAAGCTTTGGTGGTTGGTAAGTAGCTTCAGGTGGGAGTGGATCAGAGCGTGCTGTACAAGGTGTCCGGGAGCCCCTCCCTCCTTCCTCCTGCCTTACCATACTAGTCAGAAAGGGCCTTGAAATCTCCAGCAGCTCCTCCCGGCTCAAGTGTTCCAACTTCTCCAGGATGTTCCAGACCTGTGGGGCCAGATACTGAGGTTCTATCAATGCACCTCTATTTCTGTGCTTTGCCCTCAGGCCTGAGCAGGAAGCATTGCTGGGCTAGTGTTTACAAACTCTTGATAGAGTCATGGGTAGGCAAAGTCACAAGCTTGCAACATAACTGAGAAAATTCTGATGGCTGGGAATGGAGGGGCCTAGGATAGTGGCCTTGCACTCCGCTGTCAGAGGCTAATGACAGCTCCAGCTGGGAGGAAAATATTTATTCAAAACTTTTCTGCTCTTTCTCCTCCTTCTCCTGCTTCTTCTTCTGTACCTGTGTGAATATGTATTTGTGTGCACATGTATGTGTTTGTGTATGCATGCAGGTATGTGTTTGTGTGTGCATATGCTTGTGTGAGCATGTGTATGCACGCACGTGTGTGTTTGTGTGCACATGTATGTATTTGTATATACACACATGTGTGTTCATGTGCCATATGTGTGTTTGTGTGAACATGTGTGTGTGTGTGTGTGTATTTGTGTGGACCTGTGTGTGTGTGTGTGTTTGTGTGCACATGTATGTGTGTGTGTATGTAGGTCAGAAGTTGATGTTGGCTGTTTTTCTCAATCTCTTTCCACTTTGAGAGACAGTCTCTTACAGAACTTGGAGTTGGTCAGTTTGGCTAGACCAGCTGAGCAATGAGCTGCAGGATCCTCCTGCCTTCACTTCCCCAGTCCTGGGATTGCAGGCATCCAGTGTCATGCCTGACTTTTCTATGGATGTGCTGGGGATGGGGTGAGGGTCACCCATGGTTCACCTCCAAACCTAGTTAAAAACATCACATGTTGCCTGGTATATTGACTCATGTCTAATTCCAGCACTTAAGAGGCCAAGACAGGAGGACTGGGCCTCAAGTCTGAGGTCAGCCTGGGTTATATAGTGAGTTTTAGGATAGCTGAACTACAGGATGAGACCCCGTCTCAAAACAAGAAACAAAGACCCCAAGCAATAAAATCAAATGTTGGTTTTCTATCTCACAGGTAATTTTGTTTTTGAGATAAGAACTCATGATGTAGCCCAGGCTGGTCTCAGACTTGAGCCATTCCTACCTCGGCCACCTGAGTGGATTACAGAAGCATCCGTGGTGCCTGTCTTAGATGATATAGTCTTAATAACACCTAGATATCTGACTTTTTGAGTTCAAATGTCAGGTCTACCACTTAAAGATTCACGCAGTTCCCTGAGCTTCTTATGCTTCGGTTTCCTCATGTGTGAATGACATATCAATGGTCTGCTTTCTAGGACCCTCGTGGGGCCGAGTTCATGTGCCTCCGAGCCCTAGCACAGAGAAGCTGGTTTCTGCAGTGGATCGATTTTCAATGGGGGAATGCCAAGACTAGTCGTGCTTCTGTTTAGGCAGCATGGTGTCAGTTAAGCAGAGCACTGTGCTGGGAGCTAGATTGGCCCTACCAGCAGCTGCTCAAACCACCAAGTGAAGAAACGCGATGGCTCTTCCTTTGTGAGAGACTTCATTTGAAAACAACTGATGAGTTAAGGGGTAGGCTCGGGGGCAGAGTGCTTGGCTGGCATGTGTGAAGACCTGTGTTTGGTCTTCGGCATCACTGGAGAGAGACAAGTTTCTGTGAAGATGGGTGGACGAATGGCAATGGTGGGATGAGGTAGGATACGCAGGAGTACAGCATGGTGGAGCCGTTCTTCTAGGCATTGTGTGCCTGGACTGGATTAGAAGGCACCTGACCCATCATGTCCAATAGCTTACTGCCATTTGGAACATGGGAGTCTCAGTCAGTCAGTCTCCCGGGCACAGAGTCACGCTCCTCCGTGGCTCAGAGCAGCAAATATCAACCAGCCACCGTCAAGAATGTGCTGTAGATTAGCCCTTCCCAAAAGACTATTTTGCAAAAGCTGGGTCTTCAACACACAGAGCATTCATTGGTTTGGTGAGATGAAGCCGAGTGGCCTTGATCCTCGGCTTTCTTACCTACCCAATGGGAGTGGCTGGAGTGCTTGGAGTGTGGCTGCTGTGGTGATGGTGTGGAGGAGATTGCCTGGGCAGGGCCTGGAAGGGCACAGTTGCCAGAGGACACTCACCTTGAGCATGAGCCAACCAATCTCATGATTGTTGACTCCCAGGAGGTAGGGCACAGTGGGGAATTTCTTCTCTGTTAGGAGCTTCTCTGGGCTTTGTGGGAAGAAGGAGTCATTACTTATGTAGGAAATTTTCACGTTTTTCTGCTGGAAAAGTAAGGCAGGAGGCCCACTGTCAGGACCCAGCCTAGGGATTCCACAGGGACTGGACAGGACCCCTCCGGGTCACTGTCTGTCCTCATCACCCTAGAGGTGATATACCTGGTTGTTAAGGTCCTTTCCTTCCTTCTGTAGCAGACACTGCACCAGCTCAGCTGAGGACACGGAGCTGCAGCCCAAGGAGTTGGCTAAAGTCTGAGGACAGACAGAAGAATGTTGCCTCTCAGATACACACCCTTTGCTTCCCGAGCACCGCTCTCTGTTCTGAGCTGTGATTTCATAAGGCTAGCCCAAGAGACCTGCTACCAACCTAGGGAGGCGGATCCCTCTTCCTGTGTCTCCTTCATTCATCTAAGAAACATACCCTTTTCTAGTTCAGTAATAGTTTGCGGTGCCGATTAGGACACGCATGGGTCTGTCTGGCAGGGAATGTTAGGGGTACTGAGTCTGGAGCAGGGCCGGGAGGCTGGAGGGAAGGCGTCCAGAAAGACAGAGGAGGCCAGCAATTGTGGTAAGAAGATCTCTCCCTTCTGTTGTGAGGGGAGGCATAGGCTGCTGTTCCTGAAGCTCCTGAATTATCCCTCAAGCCCAGCGTTATTGCTCACTCCTCCATCACAGCCAGGGCCTGGGACCAGATGGACAGACGATAGGTCCAGCCTTTTGCTGCTTACTCCAGCAATGTCTCTAGAGCTTGCCTAGACTCTACCTTCCCCATCTCGCTGGCTGTTGGCCTCCAGGACAGCTCTCTCCATTCACCTTTTACTCCACGTGCCTCGGATTTGTTTCCCCGGCCACTTCTAGCCCTTTGCATCCTGCCTAAACTCGCAGGCATGACCTTTCATGTCCCTGCACGACCCTCCACCTCTTCAGTGCATTCGTTTCTTGTCCTGGCCCCTACCTGATGGTTTTCTGCTTCTGTGAGCTATCGCTTTGTCTTACGCCTGAAGCTTTTGCATGCCCAGTTCCTATCAGGGAAGTTCTTGGTGGCTTTTTCTGGCTACTTTTCACAAGGGGACAAATCTCTTAGGCAACAGCATGGCTGGGAATGGGAGGCTCCCAAAGGATCCTTGGGGAAAGAGGAGATCCCTAAAAATGGCCCCAAGGAAGTACCAGAGATAATCTGCTCAGGGTGGCCTTCTCCAGAAAGCCAGGTCTGACTGCCTACTCCCTGGACGGCACTAGTCACTGTCTCTGAGCCTGTTGGTGACTCCTTCCTCTCCTTGCCTGACCCGAAGGTTAGCACAGGACCGGTTTTGAGGCATACTGAAGATAAGAGAGTAAAGGAAAGGCAGACCTGAGCTTCAGGCCATGGGTTTATCTCCTTCAATATCTTGTTGGTAATAACCCCACTCTGGGATATGGCTCTGTGAAATAACCCCGCAGACACTGGAGACAGGACCTGGGAACAGCAGGGAGGACAGGTGAAGTCAGCAGGCAGAAGAGCTAGGAGGTCTGGGGCCACAGAAGCCCTCTTAGACCTGGCTACAATTGCTACTTCTCTGTGGGTAACTCACCAGGGCTGAGACGATCATGCCACCAACAGAATTACCGAAGATAGTGACACAGTTGGGATCACCCCCAAAGGAGGCTATGTTTCCCTGCACCCAGCGTAGAGCGGCCACCACATCGAGGAGGCCTTGGTTGCCAGGCATGTGCTTGTCTCCGGTGCTAGGGGCAGGACGAGGCAGTGATTAGCACAAGATGCCTCCCAAGATATATTTATTTTTTTCTTGCACTCTGCAAAATTGCTTTGAGTCAGTCACCAGGGCACTGGGCATCTCCTCTGTTACCCAGTCCTGGCTTGGATATGAGTCACCATTGGCACCTGTTTTCCCAGTATATGGTGTGGGTAGATGTAGCAAGGCAGTCAATCAGAGTTGACTCTCAGATGGATAATTGGGCTTGTTGCTCTTTGTCCCCATTCCCCGCTAGGACTCTACCCCACCCTTTGCCCAAGTTCAATGTTCAATTCTGGCTTTCACTGGGCCTCTTCCCATTGTGGAGTCCTGGGATATTCTTTCTTCTCTCTCTCTTGACTCTGTGTGTGTGTGTGTGTGTGTGTGTGTGTGTGTGTGTGGTTGTATGCTGACACGAATTCCTGTCAAGTATACACACATGGAGGCCAGATAGCAATATTAGACATCTTGCTTAACTGCTTTGTTTCTTAGTTTTTGAAACAGGGTCTCTATTTGAGTACTTAGTGCTGAGATTATAGACATATGCAGCCATACCCAGTTTATAGATGGATGTTGGGGGCCCCAATTCATGTCCTCATGTTTGCGTGGCAAGCAAATTTTACTGGCTAAACAACGTTCCCAACCTCTCTACCCTTAGATTCTCATGAGAAAGCCTTCCTCAGGACTGTAACATCCTCTTCCAGGCTGGCTACCTTACCTGAGGAAGCCAAAGATGCCGAGACGGTACTGGACAGTGACTATGACCACGTTCCCGTAGGCAGCCAGGGCTGATCCATCATGGGAGGTGGCAGAGCCAACTACCAGAGAACCCCCATGGATCCATACCATGACCTGTAGAAACGGCTATGAGTCAGTGACTCCAGCTTCTAGGACTCCAACCCCCACCTAGCAGTCCAGGGTATACCAAGGACTTCTGGGGTGTTTAGGAAATGGGGGTATAGAGGGGCAGGTGGCACGGTAGTGCTGGATGGGGGCCTCTGGACTGTATACCGGCAGTTTGGCCCCTGCAGTGGTCTCAGCGGGGCTGTAGATATTGAGGATCAGGCAATCCTCAGAAATAGAGAAGATCTGAAGCTTTTGGTTGAGGGTGAATCTGCTGTTACTCGTTCTCTCTACGTCCTGCATGCACCTGCAGTCAAGGGGGACCCCAGAGGCAGCTCTCAGTTCACACAACCTGGTGTCCAGCTTCTGCCACCACCCTGCCCGCTTGCCCGCCTCCTGCAGGGGTACTCACATTGGGGGATTGGTGCTGGCATCTCTCACGCCTTCCCAGGGCTGTGGCGGGAGTGGGGCTGAGAACCGCAGAGGGCCTAGTGGTGCCTGAGCAAAGGGAATGCCCAGGAAGACGTTCACCAGCCGCTCTGTACCCTTCACACCCACCTGCCGGCCTCTCACGCGACCCAGAGAGGTAGTCACTTCAGGCTGAGTGACTTTGGATCCTGAGATTGGGAGAGAAGGGTCACTAGGTGAGTCTACAGCTTCCGAGAGGGCCTGGGTGGGCCTGGGCGAAAGATGGATTTTTAGAATAAAGCAGCATTGATTTGTTTCTCCAGGGTCTGTTTTGTGGGGTTCCCTTCTGGGTCCTCTCCACACAGTGTCAGGGGTGAGCTCTCCAGCCAGCGGTTGCCTTTACGCTTATTATTTGTTTGTTTTTGAGAAAGTTCAGTCTGGCCTTGATTGTGCTTCGTAGAGGAGACTGGCTTCTAACCCGGATCTCCTGCCTCTGCCCCCTCAGTCCTAGGATTGCAAGTGTGTGTCAGCACACGTGGTTCCTATCTATCTTCTCCACAATCGTCCCCGACTTCCTCTTCCTTCCCTTGGGTCACAAGGCTGAGTCAGACCTGCTGCCCACTCGAACCTCAAGTTACTCACACACTAAATATAGTGTGACAGGCAGCCTCATTACTTTCTGTGTCCAGATGCCTTGACATCTGGAGCCTGGTGATCTTAAGTCCGCTTAGCCTGTGTTGCTTATTCTTGCCCCCCTGGGAAAACAAGAAGGGGATCTCTCTCCATTTCCCCTCACTTGTTCTGTCATCTGTTGGCTTCCATGTATGGGCTAATGGGGTGATTTTTAGCCTCCATATTTCAGAGAACTCTGAGTAAGCTTCCTTTATGACACTCTTGTTTGTCTTAGCATGACTGATTAATACATCTTATGTTCCTTTAAGACATAAAGATAAGACTGGGGAAATGGCACAGTGGTAGAACTTGTTTAGTATGTTAAGGCCCTGGGGTTCGAGCCCCTAGAAAATAAATGAACACCATCACCAGCCTCACCCACTAACCCCCCATAGATCATACAGAAGGACACACAGTGGCTGCATTCTTCTGTACTGGACCCCTTCCCTGAGAGGGCTGCGCACTCTTACTGGTCCCTGCCTCACTCTTGTCCCCTCCCTCCTCAGGTGTCCTACCGAGTCAGAAGCCCCACTTCACAGGTTCAGGGAGTGTGTCTTACCAGAACATGCCAGAAGTAGACAGGCCACCCAGACTAGGACATTGGACCAGGCTTGTACCACTGTCCCCATATTTCTTATAACTGACAGTGGAAGACGCAGTTGGAAAACAGGAGAGGACTTGCTTTTTATAGTACCCTTTCCCTGTAAAAATTAACTCGGTCTGCCTTAATTGGTTGGTGACCAATTCCGAAGTTAAGTGTCCCGGGCTCTGGCCACTCCCAGAGCAGAATGAGTGTCTTCTGGAGGGGCCGGATGATATGGCGCCCTCTGGTGTTCAAACATTAGCGCTAGCCTGGCATGGTGCGGCTCTTAGAATTAAAGCGGCTGTATTCCAGGTCGGCTAGACTCGGAGCTTCCTGTAAGACTCAAGGCAAATTTCTGTTCCCAAAAGGAGGCCGAGGCATGCAGAAAAGAGTAATCATTCTAAGCTAGACTGAAGCCTAGGCGTGCGGAGACTTCTATAAGTCTCCCAGCCCAGCTGGGAGTACACTGTGTTGAGTGGGATGGTGCCAAGACCCGTGACTTTGCTAGTGCATGTTGGTGCTTTTCATTGGCTTATGTGCTGGGGTTCACATTTTTTAAGCCTATGTGTCATATTGCTGTTTCTTTACTTTTATAGGGTCCCCAGGTATTCATTTTGGCTCCATTTAGCCATTACTCTATTGAGAGAACTCCGAAGGAACTCAGCCTGCAGCAAACTTCTGCCTGGCTTCCCTCTGTTTTAAGTCCACCAAGCTACCAAGACCTCTTCTGGCATTACGGATATGCACAGTCCCGGCGCGATATGCACACCATGAAGGTCTCCTGAGGGTGTAAGTGAGGCCTGAACTGGCTTGGAGCATGGCTACAGAAGCTGTTGAGTGGGTCACCAGGATATCGGAATTCTGAGATGACTCTGTTCAATGAGCATGTAGAAGGAATCTCAGCCCAGGTTTTAAAACAAAGAACTAATGATCTCTTGATTATTATTATGGGGGAACATCTTTCATAATTTCTGAGATATCCATCAGGCATCCTTCCTATTGTCCTAAAGAGAATATGTTGGTAAGTATGTGTGCATGTATTTTTTTTTTTAAAAAAAGGATTCATTTATTTTTATTTTATGTGCACGGGTGTTCTCCTGCATGCATATCTGTGTGTCAGGTGTGTCCAGTGTCTTCAGGGGCCGGAAAAGGATCCCCTGGAGCTGAAGTGAAAGAGGGTTGTGAATTACCATACGGGTGCAGGGCATTCAAAGAGTGGCCAGCGCTCTTAGCCACTATGCTTTCTCGTTAGTGCCCTGTAGTATTTTTTTTTTTTAATACAAGTTCTCACAGGTTGGCCTCAGACCCATGTTCTTCTGCCTTTCACCTCCTAAGTGATGTACTGGGTGTGCTCCTCCATGTTTAGAGGCACCCTTGTTCAAGCAGAGTCACTGCCAGTAAACAAGGGACTACAGAATTTCTTGCACTGTCCTTGTTTGCCTCCTCCTAGCCTCTATCTGAAATCCATGCATGGACACGAGCCCCAGGTTCCCTCCGATCTTCCTTGGGCTATCTCTTCGGTAACTCCAGCATCTCCTGTATCTCTCTCACCAGCTGCAAACGCGCCCTCATCTCGGTACTCTGTTCAGATCTGGGGATATAGCTCAGGAGTAGGAGGCCTGCCTAGCACACGGGAGGCCTCAGTTAATCTCCAGCGCCACAAACGCACAAAACTACGTTGTACTATGCAAACTGCACTTTGCCCCATTTCCTCTCTTCCTCACAGCAAAGCTAAGATCATCTGCGATTGTGTCTCTCTTTTCTCTCCTTCTAGTCTCTCCTAGAAGTTTCCTTTCACCTGATCCGCAAGCGCAGATGAGATGGGGGGGGGGAGGAGGATCCGGCAGGCGTGTGGAGCAGAGAGATCCTGCCTCTCAAGCTTCTCCAAGACATGAGGCACCCTTCACGTTCCTGCGCTGTCCTACAGTCAGGAGTTCAATAGAGGGGTGGGGGGTGAAGATGAGGGAGCAGAAAGTTGTGACTGGAGAAGATGGCGGGACGGGGAAAGCAGAAGCTGGAAGTCCAGAGTGGGAGAACCGCTAGGATGTCCACAGACGGAGAAATGGAAATAGACCTTTGGTTGGGGTGAAGGGAATTATTTGAACAAAGGCATGCACGTATGTTTACTCTTGGTGAGCCTTTCATCTTGTTAAGGAAAATATTACCTTGCTTTCAGGACTCATGGCTGCCTAGGACCTCGCGAAATGTTCCCCATTCTTTCCTGTTCGGGTCTGAGGCTCTGCACAGCTCATTCCTACTTAGTCATGGCTCTTTTTCATTTGAAATGCATTGGAAACTAGAACTTTCCAAGGCCCCTCACCCCATAGTTGAAATCCAGCTCAAGGTCACTTATCTTACTTGGCAAATCTTTAAAATTTCACTTCCTAGTTTCAGAAGTCTGTGAGGATTAGAAATAACCCAGGCCGTGCCCAGGAGCCTGATTCCCTGAGGTAATGATGTGGGCCTCAATCCTAAACAGCCTTAGTGCCTCCTGAAAACTGGCCATGGCCTCTGGATCCTAGCTTTGCAGATGGAAGGTGCAGTGCTGTCCAGGTCCCTTCTCAGGGACTTTGCAGGGGCATTAATTAGCACTTATCCCGACCTGAGTGATCAGCACATAGCGATCACTGCTTCTCCTGACTCTACTGCTCAGCATAGTCAAGTTACGGTCTCTTCTTTAACACACTCTGGTTCAAATCAAGTTTCCAGTCCTGCCTGACCAATTCACTCTCTGCTCTGAAGTCCCTGACCTAAGGAACAACTGGGATCTGGAGACTGAGAGATTCCAGCCCTGCCGGCTCAGGGTCATGGGACTAGTTTCCTAGTTTCTTTCTCTTCCTTCTTTCCTCCCCATCTCTCTCTCCTTCGTTTCTTCCTTTCTTCTTTTTGATTTTTCAAGACAGAGTTTCTCTGTGTAGCCTTGGCTGTCTTGGAATTTACTCCATAGACCAGACTGTCCTCAAACTCACAAAGACCTACCTGCCTCTGCCTCCCAAGTGCTGGGATTAAAGGTGTGTGCCATCACTGTCTGGCTAGTTTCTTTCTGTTAACTGAACAGTCTGGTACTTGTCCTTAACCCTGAGCCACAACTCTGTCAGATACTGCACCATCATTCAGAGGCCCTGTATCACTAATGGCCAAGACCAGAGCAAACAAGTGGAATAAAGAAAACTCTCAGGGTATTTTCGGGGTATGTACATGTGTGTGTGTGTGTGTGCGCGCACGTGCGTGTACACGCACCAACAGGAGTGGGGTATAGAGAAGAAGATTCGGAGAGCATCTGCAATGAGACACTACTGCATGTCCGCATGTCCATCCATTATAATCAGATTTAAAACCATAAAACCATGAGACATGGGGTGGGACACACTTGTAATGGTAGCCCTTGGTAGGCTGAGAGAGGACATGGAGCAGCTGGCTGGGGATGAAAAGACAGTTGGTCAACTTTTTAAAAAGTTGAATGAGCAGGTACTTGTTCCATGACTCAGCAGGCCTACTCTCAGTTCATCCGAAAGAAATGGAGCATTACATTTTGCCTACACAAAGTCATTAATAATTCCTGCCCCCATCCACTCAGATGTATTTATCTCATCAGTTAGTGAGAGGGCAGGGTGTGGTGCGAACACACAGGGAAGCCACTCTAATAAAAGGAATGAGCTACTCCCTAAATCTCAAAAGCAGGAGGTGAAGGCAGAGCCAGTCACAAACGGTTCATTTTGTATTATGATGGACAAGGCAAACTTACAACCATAGGAAAAGGGTGAGGTGGTTGCCAGGGGGCAGAGTTCAGGGAAATGATTAACACATGTGGCAGGAGGGAACTTTTTGAAGAAAAAGAAACGGTACGTATTCAGGGTGGTTACACTCCTCAATTATTCAAATTTTAAAATGGTCGAATTGAAATGTGTGTAGACACTCCACACCAAAGCTCTTATAAAATAAGGCCATCAAAGGTCTAAAAAGTGCCCTGTGCACCCCACCTTTGGTAAAACGCCCCGTGCAGTAGCAGACATGAAGCTCCCCCATGAAACGTTTGCAGCAAGCACTGCCTCAGATTGAGGGAAGAGCTCTTAGCGCCTGAGCCAGGGCAGAATGCTATCCTTGCCTGTCCCCTGGTGGTCAGAGTTGGCAATGCAGGCACTTTACTTTTTTTAAAAATTAATTCTATGTGTTTTTACGTCATGAATCTTGATCCCTTTTATTTCCCCAACCCATCGCAACTGCCCTTTGGCCCTGAACACCCCCCAAATAAAGCAAAATTTAAGAGAAAAAAGGAATAATAATAATAATAACAATAATAAATTAAAACGGAAAAACTTAAAATGATCTCGTCATGGCAGGTGACCTGAGCTAGTGGGAGTTCACGGACTCTGGGCCAACAGCTAGGCCCACTGCATATGGGTGACAGGTGTGTAGCTTGATCTGTTTGTGGGGCCCCTAGCAGTGGGATCAGGACCTGTCCCTGGTGCATGAGCTGACTGTTTGGAACCTATTCCCCATGCTAGGATGCCTTGCCCAGTCTTGACAGGAGGCACTTGGTCCTATCTCAACTTGATATGCCCTGCTTTGTTGACTCCCATGGGAGGCCTGCCCCTTTCTGAACAGAGGAAGAGGGGATGGGTGGGAGTAGATGAGAGATGGGGAGAGAGAACAGGAAGAGAGGAGGGAGGGGGAAACTGGTTGGTATGTAAAATAAATGAAAAAAATTAATAAAAATATGGAAAAATCTTGTCATGGAAGTTGCAGTATGATACAATGTGTCACGTTGTAAACCCCTTTGTCCATATATCTCTACTTGCTAGTGTTCATTACCTCAACACCTCAGCTGAATTCAGGTGCTCTCCCTCAAGCCTTATACTGTGTGTGAGTTGTAACATGTTTGAAATTTTCCCCATCTCCCAAAGTCGAGAAGTGATAAAGGAACCATCTCACCTACTCACATGATTCTGAACACAAGGGGATGCCCTGGGTGAAACTTTGCTGGTTAGAGAGAATATTCAGTTTTAGAGAGAGAGAGAGAGAGAGAGAGAGAGAGAGGCCATGACCTGTAGGCAGATTTTTTTATCTTCCTTTTTAATTATAAAAAA